GGAGATTTCAAGCTCAAAGTATTATTTGTGGTTGTGGAAGGGAAGTAGGAGCTGAACTAAATTAAATTTTGATCTTCTTCCTGGTCTGCCCGGCTTTTATTGGGAATGTTTCCCGCTTTTCTCTGCCGCTCCGGATTTTTTTTTTTTTTTTGCTGGAAGTGACCCCGTGTTTTTCTCTATTCCAGGATCTGGTGTCAAAGTTGAAAGATGCTGCCAAGAGTGTGGAGAAAGCCAGTCAGATGTGACGCCCTGCAGCTACAGCGACTTCACTAACTTTTTGTTTATTTGTTTTTTTTAATATTAGTTCTTGTTTTGTACACGAGTCTACATAACGTCACGCATGTTTGTGAATAAAATCTGAAATTTGGGAAAAGAAAAAAAAAAAGTGTGTCATTTGAGTCGTGCAAAACCTTGACATATTCTCAACAACCTTCTCATCCGACACGTCGGTATAGAGTTTTGATTTTATTTTTTCCCCCCTGAAACGCTGACAAAAACTTGGGGGAAAAATAATGACATTTTTTTTTTATCGTTTTAAACTGTAGTTTGATGCCTTTACCGTTCACTTTCAAGATGCTCGGAGCCAAAACCTTACCGATTAGTTGCCTGGAATTTCATCCCCTTTTCCCCTCCTAGTTTACACCCACATCAGCTGCAGCTTCAAAGCTCCTCAGTTGGAGCTGCACAGCGGCTCGGATTCCATAAACATCCCAAATTCCTCCATGCTCAGCCGGCTGCGAGCAGTATCAAGACTTCAGATGCTTCTAGCGAACGCGGTTGTGCGTTTTATTTTATTGTTTTTTACACGAACCTGTGGGGGGGGATGTTTGACGCCATTTGTCAGTGCGTCGGTCTTTAATAAAGCAGCTGCCTTCTGCCACAGCAGTCTGCATGAGGGCAGCCGCTTGTGCTTTGCGGTTATTTTTAACACCAGCGAGGCTGGGGCGCGTTATAAAGTAATCGCTCGCATGCTACGCACGCCGATTGTGGCGCAAAGTGGTCAAAAAGTGCGTGAACGTGGATTCGGTGAACTCTAGAATCACGTTCCCGGAGGAAAAAAAAACAACAAAAAACCCACTCCGACAGCGAATTTCTCTGCGCCTTTAAGCGACCGCTTGCTCGCGTTTTATGCGCAAATCGCAGCGTCTTGCGTGGTTTCGCTTTGAGAGAGGGAAAAGAAAGAGAAACACACTATCATGTGCACACCTATTGGTTTTGTTGTGTTTCGTGTCACCCACGCAGAAGATTTTTTTTTTTTTTTTTTTTTTTTTGGCAAAAGTTAAAAACCCCCCACAAAT